TGGCTAGCATGCGGGCGTCCTAACTAACAAAGGCAGTGGGATGAGGTGATCACCGACCTTCTGATGGACACCGTGCCAAAGAGTATCTCTGCATGCCTCTTACACACAATTACGCAAGATTTACAACCTCTTTGAATGCATTCTCCTCCCCTTACGGCACCGCCCAGCCTCCATCACTCTCGTCTTTGCTCTGATTTTGACCCACAAAACAACGTCCATCCGCCCATTCTACCATCTCTAATCAACCGCATGCCAGATCAGATTGCGTTCTTACAATGAAAATGCTCGGTCTACTACGTCAAAGTGGACCTGAAGTCCACTTCGTTGGACATACATGAACCGCTATTAGTAATGAATACAGAGGTGTGTTGTTTGTATTTGCAAGTAAATGACGAGTGACTGGATTTCTCTCCTCCTTTTGTGTTAATGTTGCTGGCGCTGTCTTTGCTGCCAAAATCAAGCATGAGCTGTCAAGGACAGATTGGAAGTCGAGCCGGAAGAGTCGTAAGCAAAATGGCATTTCTGCACAATTGAAAACTTCATTTTGACCGTTTATACAAAGTGCTAGTAGAACCGCCTTCAAGTGTTGTCTTTTGTAGGACCCTTTCAGAATAACAAGATCTTATCTCGGCTTCTAATCTCACCAAACGAAACGATTATTTTAGTAGCCGCCATAGCTCAAGGCAAATAAGTCCATCTTTCCTTTGTCTCCTTTAGGGTTCTTCATTTTCTCCCATCTCCCATCGAAATTAGCCCTTTGAATTATCACAAACTGTCATTTAATAAGAGATGGAAATGGACTTATATTTTCGCATTCATCGGCACAGGCGAGCCTTTATCAAAGTGGTTTGGTGGAGTGAAAGTTGAGACGTGGTTGAAATGGGCTGTATTGGGTGGTCGAATGACACGTTTCCGCCTCTTCTTGCCTCCTTCGCCTTGGTAAGAGGTTGAGCATATGGCATCCCACCCCTGGACGATTTTATGTCCCTCACAAAAAGCCTTTTTGTTGGGTAAAGCACATGAAATTTTTTATTTAAACCAACTTCTTAATGCAAAAAATATTCCATGTGTAGTAAAGTTGGCAGTGCAGGAAGGCACAACACAGCAAAGACTGGCATTGCAGTGGCGAATGTATTTTGAGGGTGTCATTGTTTACAGGAAGGATGCAGTGCCCTCCTGACACGTATAACAGCTTTTAAAATTGAGTAGCAATAGCTTACCTGTGAAGAAGTAGCAAACATTATTAAAATTATGACATTTTAGGGATAAAGTGCTGGACAAGTTGTCATTTTAATTAGGAACCTCTTCTCCTTCAGCCATTATTGAGGCAAATAATTGTGGTCGTGTGTAGTGTGGAAGGTGAAATGGTCGGCTAACACCTTTATAAAAACAAATGTAGAGAGGATTTAGTGGATGTGTTTCATTTCATTGCACAACGATTATTCTGGACTGGTTTATTGTCCCATCTGTGGTGAGAAATTTGCCTCCGAAGTGGAGGTGGCACTGTTTTGGAGCAGCTCTTCACTACTTGCCCACTCGGCATGATGTAGAGACTGTCCATTCAATCGAACCACAGCCATTATTGTTAAATGAGAAGTGAAAACCCCTTCTCCATCAAAACTATGTCGAATGGCTTACAAGTAGGGAGTCGGTAGGACGAGGGGCGAGCTTCACCAACAGCGGCATAGCTCACATCGGCACGATATATTTTAACGAATCTGCAAGGCTGACCTGTGGATGTGATGCGGAAAAGGGGAAGATACAACCAGACATCCCCTTCTTCTTGGACTTTTGACATGCCAGATAGGCATAGGCAGCGGAGTGGGGAAAATGAGAACAACAGCGAACCGGAAACGATTATCGTCATTTTAAACGGGACTTGCACAGGCTTTGGGATGCAGGAAAAGGAAATCTCAATGTCACCGCGTCGGTGGGGAAAAAATTGGAAATTTCTGTGTATTCTATTAACAAATTTATTTTATTTAATCTAGGTTGTTATTAAACTCCTTTAAAAGTTGCATTTTGGGCATGAAATTTCTTCCCACTTGTCGCCCACCTCATGAAGAGGTGCTTAAATGACCAAAAAATTAGGATTTTAGTGTTTTTTGCCCAACTATTAAGTGCTTTGAGGGTTCTCAGTGAAATTGGGACAACCGAGGAAAATATTATTCTCATCTGAAATTTTACTGCCAACCGAAAAAAAAGAAAAAAAATCCGATTCTCATGAAACCTTTGGTCGGTTAAATTCGTGTTGAGGGACAAAAACGGTCCCAAAAAATGTCCCTTTTTTTTCTCCAGAACCTGATAAAATTTGCAGATATGGAAATGAATGTTCAAATTTGTTGGAGCTTTGCATTTTTCTCACTAAATAAATTAATTTGGAAGAGTTGCTATTGTTGACTGCAAATCCTCAAATCCCTCTCCTCTTAGTGCCATAGAAGAGTTGAAAAGTCTTATCTCTCAGGTTGCGATTTTTTTATTAATATCTCAGCCATACCGTCAATCAAACGTCAACACTGGAGCGAGGGAGGAAGAGAGAAATGATAAAGCTCCTTCATGCCAAACAAAACAAATTTATTGTTTCCCTTAAAGTGATTGGTAAAACCAGTCAATTTTGTCCTCTTTTATGGAAGAATATTTAGTGGATTGAAAGGTGGTTTAAAGGTTCTTCTGTGGATAACACCTCTCAGTTTGCCGCACCCTCAGAGAAATGGCGATCTCCAATTCCTCATTAACTGAGGTGTTCCCTAGAGGAGGAGGAGGAGGAGGAGGCGTAATGCCCTGTTTGCTTGACAACCTGCATAAGTGGCAGTCACTTTGGCATTCACCTTGCTGTAGAGCCTTCTGGCCGAGTCAAAACTCAAGTTCCTTCTCTTCTCCTTGAAGTAGAGTTTTCAGCCCTACTTAATGCTTTCTTCTTCCTAATGTACAGTCTCGAGACATGACAGATGGTGTCGTCCTCGGCTCCACTTTCTCTACTTAACGGTGTAAAGTCCAGACACACAAAAAAGGCGCAACTACAACTGCCATACGGTAGCGAGCAGGTTCGTCTTCTCAAAGGAGTGCGAGAATTTAAACTTGTGCAAAAAAATTATGATGGCTAATAGCCGCTTTTATTCTCCGTCCTCCATTATTCAGCTCCAATGGCTGTCAATGCATGTTGATGCCTAAAGAGACTACCAAAACTTCTTCACTCATGCAGGTGAGACCTCTCACACATTGCAACAGCAAAAAAAGTGCTTTCACTTACCTCTACATGACTGTAAACATAATTAGTGAAAACGAAAGCTAAAAATTTGGTAATATTGTTTTTTGGGTGTGTGGAAACCTTTTTCCTTATTCCTCCGGCTAATTGCCATTGTGAGGTGGAAATAACATACATCCGTAAACACACGAAAACCCTTCGGTAAACAATACCGACCAGTCAGGCTGTTCCCTCGATTGTTTTATGTCACTTGTAAGGCTATGCGAAGAGACATTTTTGTTGGTAGTCTCTCCTTGTAAGCCACCTTTTGGACATGACTTTAGTTTTCCTTCTAACTTGGCAACTCGACTTAATGCTAGCATTCCTTGTCTCCCAAAAAAAAAGAAAACTGTTGCCGCTATTCAGTAGTATCGCCGACCAAAGTGATGAGATAGTTTTGGAGCATAAGAAAAGCGTTTGAGCAACTTTATGTCTGCTTTGATCCCACTACAGACGCCTTGTCAGTTGTGTCAGCAACGCACTCGATTTGTCTCCACTAACCCAATTAAATAAATCCTTTTTCCACATAACCCTTGTCCTCCTCATTAGCCAAGGTGGTATTCTCTAAGCCTCAACTAACTTTAGTTTATTAATTCCCTTTAAATTGCTGCTGGACAGTTTTGTAAAAAAAAAAGCCTTCAAAATGTGTTCCGAAGGTGAAATCAGTCGGCGCACACATCGACAACAAACATCGCCCTAATGGGATGAGTGAGCTCGTCTGAGTGGCTATAATCGCAGCCCTTTTCTCATTGGCTGATGGCAACTCCATATAAACAGGTCAGGAGGCCATCGACTCAAACCCTCTTCTCCACCTTGAAACCATCGTACTGCGTAAAATGACTTCTTATTGGCAGCACCTATGTAAGTCGCAACCCACTGCTCTCCCTTCCTCCCAGAGGAGCACCGTTTTGTCTCTAAATGTCTCTTCTTACCCTTGAAAGGTCTACTTGCTTTCTTACTGATTGTGGAATCATCAGCCACCAGACTAGCTCATGAGGGCATGGACAGTGGAGAACTTCATCTGAGCGATATGGGAGGTGACCTCTTTAAAAGGGGCATTATGAAGATGAGAATTGGGAAACGAGGCTTCGATTCGGGCTATGAAGGTATGCACAGTGTAATTGTCCTTTCAGTGGAATAATTTAATAATTATTAAAAAAAGGGGTGTGTGAGTGTGTGCGCATTTACTACTGATGGAACTGTGCCCACCTCGAAGTCGCGTTCATTTACTCAGTTAGTTCATTTGATGCATCACTTGGCTTCACAATGGGAATGAATTTTTGGTGCTTGAAACAATTCTCAGTCTGGTAGTGTCCTCAGCATCGCAATAACTGGACTTGTTTGGGCTGGGGATTTAGGACATCATCGCATAACCACCGCATTAACTTTATGGTTTGCCATATGCGGTGTGCAACGGCAGCCATTTTTTCCTTGAGGACAGTTGCTCATACTCTTCCCGCTTTGCTGAATCTCCTTCAGACAAATTTGATCTTAAAATCGAGACTACAGCCGCCTTGGAGATTGGATTTTGTAAGTGGGTTTCCACTCGCCACAGACAGTTTGACCAAATTTCCCTACTTAAGGTTTTCAGCAATTTTCGTCCTAAAACAATCGCAGTGTTGCATAAAGCATTTTACTTAACTTTTTAATGGTATGTTGATTAGCCTCTGAGGTGAGGGGAATCGAGAGAGGTTTAAAAATTCTCCCACCTTGGCGACAGTGTGCAAGATTCATGTTTTCTTGTTTAAAATGCTATCATAAAAGTCAAGTTATTCGTCCCAGCTGTAACATAAAAGTGTCTGGGTTGCTCCTGAATAGGAAATTAAGTAGCAACTACTCCCTCGTTGGTAGTTCTTTCACAAATCATTACACCGCCTTTAAAGTGTTAGCAAATTTTTTAGCCCAAATCTGAGTTTCCTCAAGATGAGGACAACTTGTCTTTCAAATAACTTCTCAGTCTACTGACTCACTCTACAAGGGTGGAAACCTTAGGGCAAAATAACGACATTTTACAAGTAAAAGGGAGTTTAAGAGCGTAGAATGTGTTTGAATGTCTACCCACCATTCCTACCACTGGCAGATCTGGCAGACGATTCGGAATCGGCCTACGTCTACATACCGGAGGGAGTGATGCGAGCGGCCCTGAAACGCGCGGGCATCCGACGCATGCGCATGGGATGAGGGGTCAGTGGAGCGCCCCACAACGGCACGGACACAACTGTTTGCACTCCCTACTTTGCACCTTTCCTTGCAATTCCTACCTTCTGATGTTATGACGACGCCTGTAGTAGATGACCCAAGCATTGTAATTAAAGTATTTGTTGTCAAACTTTTGGGCTTTTGTTCCCAAAATTAATCCTTTAATCTTTAATATTTGCCAGAACAAGTAGTTAATCATCTTCTCAGCTTAAATTACGGCGTGTTACAGAGGAGATGCGAAGGTGGGCGTTAAAGCAGTAGGGAGAGGCGGAGGAGGAGGAGAAGACGACGTGGTCTGGTGCTTGAATTCGGCACCAACCTGTTAAATCACCTTTGCTACAAACTGAGGCGCTCAAGTACTTCCACAAATTGTTTTATGTTTTTTTTCTTTTGTCAAATGACACCAAACCATAACTTTTTGTGGGTTATTTCATTTCATTTTTTACTTAAAAACCTAAATACTCCATTCTTTTTTAATATTTACTTCGAAAAAGCTGTCATTTTGCTTTCCCCTTTACTTCAAGCACTCCACTTTCTGGTGTCTCCACAAGCCACTTCAGTTCGAGTCAACTTTTGTCCTCAGTCAGTGAGTCGAGCATGTTGAGGCCACGGCTAAGCATCGTCGAAGTAGAAGTAAGACAAAAGACTGACGTCGTTGCAAAGGTTGGTGGGGAGATGGTGAGGTGGATGAAAGGATGTTTAAACGGTGGTCTGCATGGCGTGTGGGATGCAGATTAAAAAAAAAAACTCCCCATCACATGTCCCACTGAGTTTGGCTCCAGTCCTTAATTTACCTGATTTTATGAAGCAGTTCTAATTTGTAAACGGTTTTAGCGATTTGGTGACGGCGGAATGCTGTCATGTTGACTGACTTTTGCCAGAAAAATTGACAAAAATTGGCGATGATTCACCGTATTTGTATTTTTGGACGTGTAAACACGATGTGTTTAAACTTTTGAGCCATATGACTCGTCTGCAGTGGGCAGACCTTTCGGCAACTTTGATGGGGACTTTTGTAGGCTCGGTAACTTTTAACAACAACTCCTCCTTTGAAGTCTCCTCTTCTCCTCGTCACTGCGTCACCGTTGAATGGTGACGCAGTGACTTGATTGTGGACAAATAAGCAATAAAGTGGCTTGCTTTTCTCTCTCAATCGTCTCATTTTTTTTTGGTGTTTTTTTTTGTTTTATTTTAGGCAAGCGTGTAGAAAATGCTTTCCCGATTTTTTTCCAGAACTTTCTTCCATCCAATTTTACCGTTGGACAGAATTGATACACTGAGAGGCGAGCTGCCAACAAAGTGTAAGATGCCTAGTCTGTCACTCCGACGTCACTGTGCCATGTACTAAAGGCGAAAAGTGAAATTTTTGTTAAAAAATTTCATCCGCACCGCCACAGTAAAGGCGATGGTGATAAAATGACCAAAATGAGGAGTGGAAAAATGATGCAGAGGTTCAATTAGAGCCATTCATAAGCAGATACATCCGTCCAGCCAGCCATCACCCGTCCGTCCATTTCTCCAACCCACATGCCAGTTGGCCAACAACCCGTCCGTCCATCCATTCTCTAATCCGATTCATCTGAAAGAAAGGTGGATTTCCTCCCCACTGCCTGTCGCAAATACTATTTGAGGAAATTAAAGGAGAGAGAAGGGAATATTGCGAATGTGGATGAGATGAGAAATTGGGCTGTTACAACTTCTCTTTTACCTCACTTTTCTAGTCGAATGACCAAAACACGACTTCCAATTCGGTGACAACCTGAGTCAGCAGTCACCCAACTACTCAAAAAAAAAAAGGCAAATGAATAAGACTTGAGGTGATTTGCTAGTTACGTGGTAATTTTGCCTACCTAGGAAATTTTTAAACCAAATTTTAATCATAAAATGTCGTTCTCTCACCCTCTCAATTCTGGCGTACAGTGATTTGGTGACATTAATTTACCTGCCACAGATTGTGACAGCTGCCTGCCTCCTACTTGCCCCTCCACCTCCTTTCTACAATCTGCACAGCAAAGAAGGATTAGTTTTCTACTTTCTCTCTTTCCCTCCCCTCCAAATTGACAATGATGACATCTAAAATCTACACTCACCCTCATAAGTACCCAAAAATTGTGGTAACTTCATTTGTGTATCACCGTTATTAGAGAGTTCTCACCATTACAATTGTTTATTTGTCCTTGCAGAACTTCATTCTCCACTTTTACTAATTAAGCCTTCAGCGGTTTGTGTCTGCAAGAACTCTCCACTCCACTTTAAAGCGTGACGAGGTGTCCATTTCAATGGCAATGAAAGTAAAACGGACTTGTGAAACGTCAAGCCACTTCACACCGCTGCAGCAACGCCTTCTAGTCGCACAACTTGCAAATCTTCAGTTCGGCATTGCTCCATTTCCTCAATCCAGTGGACCAAATCAGCCGAAGGCACAACTTGAGTGAGTGGGTGAGTGGAAGGGTGCGTGAGCAGTCGAATGCACGGCCTCATCCTTCATTGAAGGCTTTGACTCATTGTCTCCTTGTAGTACCACTTGTTGGTACCTTCAACAACTTCAAGTCCTCCTTTCCTAACCCTTCATTTCCGTCATAAACATGACTTATTTTATGATTTTAAATTCTTATTTTACCTCAACTTTCGCCAAATTAGTTGTGTTTTTCATTAAAATCTGGTTTTTTAATTTCTGTAACTCGTCACCTTTTACTCTTTCAATTTACTTGAGAAGAGCATAAATTGAAATCCCCTGTGTAATTAGCCTGGGGCGGTTGTATATCTTCGTGCCATTAACAGGAGCTGCAGGTAGAAGGTATTCTACCCGCCATACTGGCTGATTTGGTCTTTGTTGTGAGGTGGTGGAGTTTGTGGTCACCTCGTCAAGTCCGCTCAAAGTTCGGTTGAGTAGAATACTCGAATTGCTAAAGCTGGAACACAAAGGAAGCAAAGAAGCCCACTAATCTCGCTGTACAGATGCAGGCTACTCGGGTGCAAGGGCGGGAGGAGGTGGAGAAAGGACAGGGGTGGGGAGATATGACATGCTTCCCCTATCGTCATGACTCACCCACTACATTTTGCCATCACGGCTACAGTGTACTTCACCACCTGCGTGTCCCTCAAATGGGCGCCTTTCAACTGGATCCCTTTAAAACAAAACCCTCTTCTGTCAATTTGTTGTAAAACGGAAGAAGGGATCGGAAGTGTTTTCAAGGTTCCATCCCTTCTAGTGCTATCTTCAACCAAGAAAATTAAAGCATAACGAGCAATAAGATGATGGTAAAGTGTGCAGGTGGGACAACGCTGTGTACGCATCTAAAGACTCCTGTTTTCGCATTAACTTTAGTCCAAACACCTTTTTCGGGGTGGGTGAGGGCACTGCCTCCTATTTACACGAGTGGCTACACAACTTAGCTGCAGGTGTTAATGTTCACATGGTTAACTTGACCATTTATTGGTCACCAGGGCAACATTTTGATTTTGATACTACTTTTTACCCACTGACATCAGCCCTTGTGTCACAGTAATGTGCAAGACTGATTAATTTATGGTTGACAGGTTGGGAAGATGGGGTGACCGATGTCAAAAGGGATGTACTGCATTCGGTGAAAGGGGCAGATGTCCACTAATTCGAATTCTATGTTTTTTTATTCCACTCTTAACTCTCAAACTACCTAGAGACCAAAGAAGGAGCCTCATCATGCGATTGTTGGGACATTGGGCGATTTTAAATCGCCTGTACTTCCTCCACGCGGCGAAGGAAATTCAAATGCATATCGTATTTTATTACTTCAATCGCTAATTAAGGGAAATTTTGGAGACGAAATGGGGTTATCTGAAATTTTTTTGCATTATTAATACTCTCCATCCACTAATTTTCATCGTACTCTTTTCCATTTACTAACTTCCTCTTGTTCAAGCACAAGGAAGGCGAACTCGAGACTGAAAGGACTGATAAGAGGGGTCGAAGCGTCGGCAACCGTTTCTGCAGTGAATTAGCATAAATGTGATCATCTTCCAGCAAAAGTCCCACCGCCGTGCATTTAAGGTTTGGCGTTGGGCCAAAGGTGCTGATGGGTAATGCCTGCCGCTGCCACTAATGCGCCTTCAGTCGTCTCTTCTGAGGTGGTAATAAAATGTACCAGCGAAAGGTTGAATTTGCAATTGGCATACTGAGAAGGGAAGAGGAAAGAAACGCGACTTCAGCACCAAACTGTCGTATGGCGTTGGATTCCACGAGGCCAACTAATCTCCCAAAGTCGTGTGGACAGTCAAAAAGGAGAACCAGTGAGGGCTTTTTGTCTCCAAATTGCAAATTGTGCAATGGTGATATTTGCTTCTGCTCTACGACCACCACAGAATGATGTGAAGTGGAGCACAAAGCGCATCAAAATATGCCTGTCTAGGTCCAGATTTTTTTCCTTTATGAAAGAGTGTAGTGCATTTTAAATCAAACAAATAAGTCATCCTGTTAAATGACAGTTTAATTAACTCAGTGGGCACGCACCTTCCAAGCGAGATATCCTTGAAATTATACCACCATGTTTGGGATTAACCTGTAATTTGCTGTGGCATGATTGCCTAAATAGCCGTCCAGCCCCAGTAATCATGGGTGCTTAGGTCATCTCTCCATTTTTCACCTTTTAAGAGTCGGGAGACCTGTTGAGCAGTGCGTGTCCAATTGTTGGCGTTTAACTGTTGTGCAGGTTCACCTTTTCGGGTTCAGCACTAGAGATTGATAGAAATGACTGAAGACTGTATCCGCTGTGGTGATAAGGCATTATTTAGGTAACAAAGTAGTTTTTTAACTTTTTTTCTTTTCGTCCTTCCCCTTCATCTTCTTGTTTCTCATTCTCCTCCTACTGCCACGACTGCCACCGCCACTACTTGCAAGCGATTGCGTCTACTGCATCACGAAGATGCTCCATTCTATTTGTTCCCATCCTGAAAGGCATAAAATCCAGTTTACCAGACTTTATTTCCGGATTTTAGGTAAGACTTTTGCTCATACCATTTAGATCAGGTCACTGAAACGACCTTCATTACCTTCTCGGTAATGACCTTTGAGAGGCTGATTACTAAATGCTGCAATGTGTAGGCTTTCATTAAAAAAACTAAGTGTCCGTGGAAGTTGTTAGCCTCACCATGAATGACAACCGATTTTGCTAGCTGTTGCTACCATTGGACAGACTGCAAGACAAAAAGCGAAAAGTGATGACAAGAAACATGACTTTGTAGTTACTCGCTTACAGCTCTTTTCCTTCCTATTGTGATGAAAGAAGGGATGTCTTTCCAAGAGAAATTTGAGCATCTACTGCCTTCGTTGTCCAAGGAACCAAACGAACTTTCAGTGATAGGCTCCCAAACTGATTGCTTCTCTCTGTTTGTTTGAATTTTATTGTTTAAAAGCAACCACAGAAGTGAGTGCTGCAAGTAATCTAGTCCTAACAGTTTGCGCGCTCCAATCCATCTGCCCTGCATCCATTCTCCACAATTTACGCACCCATCTACCCAAGTTACTCAGCACCCTTGCTCAATTTATTTAATACAGTGTCAAGGTCAATTGGCACAATTGGAAATCTCCACTGGAAACTTGAGTGCTAATTCAGTTGCCAAGCGTAGCTGTAAGCAGAGCTACCTACTAAATTGTTTCTGGAGGATTAGAAAGGAAGACGTGGAGCTATCACACAAACTCCAGTCAAACTAGTAAGAATTAACCTGTGTCAATTGGAGACCGATGATGAACGCGTGGCGACGGTGATGCTGGTGGTGATGGTGGTGGTGGTGGTGGTGGTAGTAGTAGTAGTAGTAGGTAATGTAGAAGTGGATGCAGATACATCCATGAACTCCAATATTGCCAATTTCAAAAGAAGTGAGAAGGACCACACACCGTCTTTGGTATACACTTTGTCGAAGGAGATGGAGGGTGGGAGCGGATTAGGAGGCGGGTATAGGCTAAAACCTGTGGGAGGAAAGTGGCATTACCGTTTGGCCAGCAGCTAGGATCTGCATATGAACAGTTCTGCTGATTCGTATACATTCTACACGTACACAGGGGAAGAAGCGATAAAATATTGGGAAAGTGAGCATGGAGTGAAATAGGAATGCAAATTCAACTGCATTTTTCATCTTTAAACTTCAATCAGTCAGTGGTTTGCTTACCTGTTCAGAATTAGAGAAATAAACCACTGTGATTACTTTTTAAGATAATCATTCTGACTTTTGAAGCAGATTAAAGGAGGAGCCTATTTATGGAAACCAGGATGTCAGCATTGCCTACTTTTGATACTTTTACCATACTGTAGGTCCGTTTAGCTATAATTGATACCCATGCGCTAAGTGACATAATTAGTCATTTTAAAGCACGATCCACACTTTATTTATGGGCAGGGCTAATTTATGTTTTCGTCGCTATTACTGTTTACCCCAATGCTGCACTCGTTTGTTTGGAACGTTAATTTAACAGAGTGCATACCCTTGCGAGTGGATTTGCCCAGTCTCTGTAATTGTCCTAATTCTGGGAGTCTATCAACGCTTCACAAGGGAATACATTTTTTCTTCGTTAATAGGCCAAATTAATCTCTTTCACTCTTTAAAAGTTGTTACTAGAAGCCTATAGCCAATGCGCCCTAACGCCTTGACTTGTCACTCGATTTCAAAGTTGGGTAGCTTAAGTTGTCAATTTCTTCTTCTATTTCAATGTTCACCATTCAACCTTTCGACTAGGAAACTCATCTCTTTGAACAATTCTGAGTCGTTCCGATTACACCAGACCGCTTGTACATGAGTCGTAAACCCACCGATGACGAGCGCAGTTATAATGACAATCTTTTATATTGATTTCGATCTTTGCTAACACCAAAATCCCAACAGTAATATCCGGAAGCTACACGAATGTGTCTTGTGGGTCGAAGGACATAATTCAGATCAGATGTCATGCCCGAAGAAGGAAAATCTCTAGAATCAAGAGCAGGAATGAATGTTTCTTACCACTTTCACGTTCGGCATTTTCCTTTTGTCTACGCCCCAATATCAACAAAGATCTCGAGAAAGACAGATTCTTGGTCGACTTCTCAAGAGAGAAGCGAATTAGAAAAAACGTATGGAAACGGGCAGCTTGTAGCACTTATCACATTCATTCCTAAGTGAATAACTGTTCTAAAAAGCATTTGACATAAAACGGGAATTTCGATGGCATATATTATGTAATAACACATTTTAAATTACAAATATGCACATTTCTTCAAAATGCACCAGAACGTTTTAAAGACTTCGTAAAGCATTACTTCTAGTTAACCACAAGTCTTAGCCCCAATTACGTAGCTTTTTAATCTTAAAGAAAGTATAAATATTTTGTTTAAATTTGTTTTACAACTTGTATACGCTTTGAAGTAACGGGTGTTGCAATCAACCGTCAACAATCCTCATTGCGAAGGTCGCGATGTGATTGGCTGAGATACACGGGTCGCCACAAAAACTGCGAAACTATGCTCCCGTTTCTTTCTCAAAACTAGGTCGGTAAATGAGGATAAAGCTTCATCTTCAAAGACCTAGACAGACTACCGTATCTCAAATAAGTTCTGAAAGCCTTACAACTTTACTGGAGAAATTATTTAAACGCTTTCATTGGGAAAAATATTTTTTAATCTGTGTATCGAAATGTGAGTGATGACGTTTTATTTTATACGATAGATGACGAAGTGTTTTGTTATTTGCTAATGAAATTAGGACAGCTTTGACGATACTTTTGCCTTGACAATTCCACTGAATATTTTGCCCGACTTAGTTGAATGCTCCCCTGTATTTTTCATAGAGCTGCTCTTGTATTATAGGTTCACGTATGCGTAGAATGAATTCTCTTAGCGAAGACGTAGCAAAGGAAATTCGGCGGCTTAATAACATCCCTGAAAATGAGGAAAGTCCAAACGATTATGTAGAAGTTCTGCACTTATTTTTCACAAGTTTGCCTTCAAATAAATTGCTTGTGACCTTTGGCAACCTAAAGGAGTTAGTTATAGTGGGTCAAAAGGTTCCGAACCTGTTTTTTCTTAAAGACTGCACCAAGTTAACAAAGCTATGGATTTGTGAATGTGGCCTAGAGTCAATGAAAGGTCTTAAATGTGGAGCCAAACTGGAAGAGTTGTACTTGTATGACAACAAACTAAAAGCTGTAGAAGGACTGGAAGAGATGAGTTCACTTTGTCGACTATGGTTGAACAACAATGACATAACGCTTTTGACTGGTCTTCAAGATCTGCAAGAATTGAATGATCTCAACGTAGCTGGCAATCAAATCGGTCGTTTGGATACCTCTCTTAGCGCTTGTACAAAATTGGAGTCTATCAATCTCTCAGGAAACAATTTTTATGACTTACCAGATGTGCTTTCTCTTGCCCTGCTTCCGAAACTGCATTCGCTGAGAATAAATGATGCTGAATTCACTCCAAATGCAATCTCTTCGTCGTCGTTCACTTGTTTGGCTCTGATACATCACATACCTCAACTCTGTAGTATCGATGGAATGGACTTGAGGGAGCCATTTGTTGGCCTTCTCCAATCTATTATTTGTGAGAAAAAATTATTTTACTTTGCCAAATTTCGTCATCAGCACAATTTTCTCCTCAAAGCGCAGCACAATCTTCTGATACTAAAAAGACGTCTTTCGTTGCCTATCATTGAGCGTCTTCGACTTTTGGATCTGCAAATTCGATCACTAGGAGCTTATGCTAATGTGCAAGAAAGTACTTCAAAGGAGGTCAAAGCGCTAGATCAGTATCTGAGCAAAATTCGAGTTCGAAGTTGTTGGTGGAAGAACAAATTAAGCATTCTAGAAGCTGAGTATGAACACTATGCATCTGCGTTAGCAATCAGGTTTAAAGTGAATCAGTGCCTTCACACCGCCGAGCTTCAGATGTTCGGCTGCCTTACGGTCAACCAGATAGACCGTTCTACCGAACTTTTCAGCCTTTGCAGACGTTTCTGTCAGATGCGGGTGTGTTGGCATGATCGATGCTTGGAGGGGTTTTCTGAACTACGCCTGAACAATCTTTGGTACATTCGAAACGTTCTTTTGAATGACAACTGTCAAAAAAGTCTTACAAAGGGCAATATCACAGAGGAACTCCTCTTTTACAACTGCATATTCGCCACTGATGTGGATTTTTGTCACTTGGGCGAATTTTTGCGCTCCGGATTTCCAAGTGATGGAATTGTTGGGAGCTTTAGCTTTACCACACTTTTGAGTAGGCTATTGAGGCTTGATTCTTTCCCCACTGAAAGGACTTTTAGCACATCATTTGTCGTCCTGGTGGTTCGAGCCCTCATAAGGGAAGAAGGCAACTGCATTCGTACTGGAATCATCCTATCTCCAAAGAGTTACACACTAGCAAATGGTAAAAGGAGATTTTGTGCCTGCTCCATTGCTCACTTTGAATATGCATTCACCGAGACTGTCTGCTTAATTCCTGAATTTCTTGTCGAATTGGAGCTCATTTCAACCTCCTATTTATCCCAAATGTCAGCCTTTACAGGTAGGGATAGCAGCTGTGCCTCCACGCGAACGAATTCCATGGAAGGCACAAACGTTCGTGGAATAGATCGAGATAATGAAGTCTTGAAAACCAAACCTGATGTTCCCTTTCCTCCGGATTTATCTGAAAGCGATTTAAGAAATGCATTGCGTAATTCTTGGTTTTGTTCCATCTCTGGCCAAACTTTGGAGTCAATAACAGAGCTTAATTTCCATGGCACAGGTTTTCGATCATTTAGAAGTCTTCGAGAGCTTCCCATTTTGAGGAGTCTAGTGCTCTCCAACTGTGGAATAACAAGCCTGAGAGAGCTGAGTTTGCCTTTCTTGGAGACACTAGATGTCAGCCACAATGCTTTGCACTCGCTGAAGAGTTTGGAAAGTTGTCCAGCCCTTCTTACCCTCGATGTAAACTGGAATTTACTCAGCAACTTGGAAGTTGAAGTAAGACACCTTTCGTGGGTTGCAGAAAATCTCGCTACCATTCGACTGGAGCATAATCCCTGGTTCCGAAACGACCGAGTTTCCGAACGTGCACAATCTCTCCTTTCCTCTCTATCATCATCTCCGAGGTATGGCTTTGATAATTGTTCCTATGATGTGGAATCCTTTCGGAGGACTCACATCTTTACCACTTCAAGAACCTACATGCTCACCCTTTGGCCCATTGTAAACGTGCTATCACGAAAGCTCTCTGGTCAAGTCCCGGATCTCGATTTTTTCATGCAATCCACCCGCCTTTTGACTCATCCTCCCACATTTCCCAAAGTTGCGTTGGGATATTTAACGGCGCTTACATTGAACAATGTATACTTGGTTGAATTGAGCTCTCTGTGCTTTTTGGAGCATCTTCAAGAACTGTCTGTAGAAGGTAACAACCTAACATCACTTACTGACCTTCATCACTTTTCCAAGTTACGAACCCTCCTTGCGGCCGACAATTTTATCACCTCGATTGCAAACTCCAGCTTTAATCACATGACGAATTTGCAGATCTTAGCTTTGGACAACAATGAAATAGTTAATCTAACACCTTTGACAGATTGTTTGTCCTTGAAACAACTCTTTCTTACGAGTAATAAGATAACCAATTACCAATCAGTATTAGCGCTGAGTAATCTACCCGAGTTGAAGGTTCTCGATCTACGTTTCAATCCCCTTAGAACACACCTCTCGAAGTATCGACTGCGAACTCTCTACCACCTACCTCATCTCGCCTTTCTTGACGGTGTGGAGGTGAGTGATGCCGAAGTAACTGAGGCTAGAGAAGCTTTAGACGGTCGCCTATCTGCGGACTACGTTTTGGCTTCTCTGGGAGTGGAGTCAGCAGATCGGGTGACTCATTTCACCTACGATGATGGTGGGATACGTTTTGTTGAATTAGAACCACCGGAGGCTTTCTCCAACCTTCGCACTCTTAATCTGTCAAATAATCGTCTCACTTCATTTGAAAGTCTACTTCAACTGGAAAATCTTGAGGTTCTTTGGCTTCCAGGCAACAAAATTTCAATGCTTTGCAGCAGCATATCTAATCGTGATATGAAGGTTAAATACTTACCTAAATTAACTGTCTTATCTCTAGCACACAATGATATAACCTCCCTCGTACCCCTTCACCTCAACCGATTTCCAGCTCTGCGCACCCTCTTCCTCCAGGATAATGCCATATCCACGCTAAGTGGTCTGATAGAAATGAGCAGTTTGCGTCATCTAGTCCTCGACCGCAACAAATTTCGTAAACTTCTGTTTGTTGAGTTTGCCAATCTTAGTCGTTTAGTGGAGCTGCATTTGGAAGGCAACCGTCTACGTGAAATTCCATCGATGGAGCACTTAGAGGAATTGCGTCACCTCTACTTGGGCGGAAATAAGCTAGAAAACCTCGTAAACACATTGGAGAGTTTTGCGCCTCTCAAGTGTCTCACTCACCTAAATCTCAGTGAGAATCCCCTTTCGAAATCACCTTCCTATAGGCTGGTTGTGTGCCATCATTTGCCGAAACTTCAATGCCTCGATGCCATTGATGTTACTCCTCGAGAGTCGCAAACTGCTGCAAATCTGTTCGGTGATTCAGAGGATCAATCGTCACTAAATACCGTCTTCGAATCCGAGCAAATTTCACTTAGCCCTCTGGTTAGAGAGAAGCAATTGTCAAGACCGTTCTGGAAGAGCATGACAAATGCCCAATTTAACCTTCCCTCAGTGACAAAAGTGGTAGAAACTATGCCATCTGAAATGGCTTTCAAACAAGTAGGTAATGCCGGTGCCTCATCGATGTCCTCACTCATTCCACCAGGTGTAGCTCTTTTTCCATCTGCATTGAAGAAAAACTTGTCACAGCGACGACGACCTGTGGAGGCAAATAACGTTTCAAGGACAACTGCAATGAGGAGTAACTGCAAAAGGATTGTCATGTCCATTCCGGGAATAAGCATAAATGCGATGGCCCACTTCACTTCTCAAGTACCAAATGCACCCAATACTGAGCTCGCAGATGAGTCTGCGGCTGTTGGTCTTTAAAGTGTCAGCCTATGTCAAGCTAGTGTATTATTTTGTATAAAAATTATGTTTGCCACATCTTCAGTCTGTCCTTGTACTGCTAGCCCATCAAGATGTGCGAATGAGGGCTAAGTTTCGAAAGGGGAATATGGTGTATTGCCGACGTACGAAAGGATTTTGGGCTACTGGTATGACTTGGAGGTTCAACTGCCCAGCAAGAGTTCAATGGCGGAGCCCATGGTAGTCTCAAAGTCAAAAAAAGTAAAGCAAATTAAAATTGCCAACATGTCACGTGACTTCCGTCCTCTTGGCTACCTTCCTCATTTATCCCCCGTGTCGGTTATGGTAACAGACGGTTATTTTAAAATCAACTGCACCATTCAATGAATTTTCATTCAACTAATAAGATATCTGACTGTTCTATCACTGGTTTCTCCTAACAGTTTTATTGGAGTAGGAATTTAAGCCTGCTCAAGAGTTGGTTTTGGTGCAGAGGGCAATGTGCAGGACATTGCCCTAAAAGCAGAGCCGGATAATAAAAGACGGATATTAAGGTGGTCCCTTTGATGCTTCTCCTCTTTCCCTTCATGCTACTTCGCCCAGATACATCTGTTTTGATTCAGCCCCCGTTAATTGAAATGTCAACTTCACACCGACACGATGGAAAGCTTTTGGGGTAGTGTCGTTTTGGTTGTCAGTGGCATCTCTGTGGGACACTTGAGGTATTGGCCGGAAGTTGGTATTTGAACGAGTCGTAGGTCTCCCATTCGCTGTCTTTAGTATTTTTCCCTCTGTGTTAAGATTTTACGACGGGTAATAAAACGAAGTCGTTGTTTTTAGTCAAGGTTGCATTTAAGTACCTGTAATGTAGCGATCTCAGTCGTTCCTGAAATGTGGGGAAATTCACTTTAGCGTACAGAAGGGACTGTTGTTCTGAGTTGGCAACCACGCCGCTCAGCAGCTGTACACTGGAAGAGCATTAAGCATCCACATAATCACTTTATAGAATAAAACCCATGGTCAAAGCATTACTTTGAGTCGAATCAAGTCGGTCGACTTCATGCTAATCATCTGGGTTTTGATAGCATTCTGGATAAAATGTGTAGTAGTTTGGGTGAACGAAAGCATTTATTTTTGTTCTGCTGCAGCACCTTCGTTTCCATTGTCTGGGCTCATAGTGCTCTATTGCTTGTCTTCTCGGGCATAAGATGCACACTTTTTCACGTATTCTAAGATCTCCTCAATACTTAAAGCTTACATATCCACTGACCTTGACAGAGAGTATTGAAGCCTATCTACTTTAAAGAATATGAGGCAGCTCTAAACTTTGAGAAGTTTGTGTAGAATTTGCATTATATCTGTATAAGTTTTGTCAGGTGTTATAAGGGGTGTTGCACGTGAAGAAAGTGTTTACTTCCATTAACAGCCGGGACGAGTCACTTGAAAAGTTCAAACTTGTTCGAAGGTAGCAGATATATGGGTTTCCCATTTGCGTAAGAAATGGAGAGCCAATGCATGTTAAGGATGTATTAGCATATAATATGTTACGATACGCACTTGGAATGCCTTGCTTTTCTGCTGAAATATTTAAGTAGTAGCACTATTTACGTCTTCGGATCACCCACTTGTACCTAAGGCACCCACATTCCTTATCTCGCAGTGTACGTATGGTGGTGTAGAAATACTGGTCATGGTATCATTCTTGACGTTCCATTCTCCATCTTAATTTCTAAGCGGTTGTCTGAAAACTACGGGTGACGATTGCAAATTGGAAAATGGCAAGTTACGCCTAGCAAATGTGGACGATGAAAATAGGCTCGTGAAGTTGACTGCAGGGGTAGTGGGGATGACTGCGTTCTACCATATCACAAAGCGTGGTCGTCGGTAGTCACCGTTATCGGTTCGTTCGTAGCGTATCTACCTCGGAGTCTGTCTGTGCGCAATTGTGTCATTGGTTTTGCTTCAATATGGCTGACATGCCAGCTAAGGTTTGTTTTACGGGAACTATGTAAACACAAACAAATTTGTCAAGCAACTTCGACACTTTGATAGTTGTTAAGTTAGTTTTTTCGTCTTGCTTTGAATAACCTTGAATTCGGATTGATTGTTGACATATATGGAGTGTCCTTACATAGTTCCAGCCAAAGAAATTGAGTGAATGAGATTTACGTGTGTCCGAGAGTACACCTGCAGTTGTGTCGACAACCTTTGGATTCATTTCTTCGTTGGCATTTCGATGGTATACTGGCGCATCACTTGAATTTACCGCTTGACGGGCGTCGATGGTGAAATGCGTATGGGAAAATCTTGACTTCTTGATGTATTTCCTCAGCGACCTTGTGATCACGTTGAAGTTGATGGGTATGTGCTACCACCTTGGTATTTTATAATTTGTAATCTACTGATTACAAGAAAATCAGTAGTAGTTGTATTTTTAAAAGATGGAAATATATTACTTAATTCGATTACACAAAAAAACATGTAGAAACGCACCCAAATCACACCTTTGTTTTTATCACCTATGGTAGGTGAAAGGAAAGTTAACCACTAGCCACATGTGGAATGTTTTCCCCTTTTAAAAGTCCACAAAATATTGAGGCCTATGGGAGGAGATTAAATACCTTGGATCTTGTTAGAAGACTGATTTCGTCGTACTCCTGAGGAGGAAAAAACTATGCTCCACTACGTTGAGGGCTTCAAATCAGCAAAAGATAATTTGCTATATTTTACCACATCCCTAGAATTGTTCAAACGATGATAAAGATTGAAGGAACAAAGAAGCGTATCACAATTTCTTACGGACATTGGTTTAACAGACCAATGTCATTTGAAGTAATGTTGAAACGCTAATAAACGAAAATTAGAAACGTAAAAAAAAATTTGCCGGTATCACAAATATTCGGGAGGTAGGACGGCAAGGCAATCACTTCGCCAACAACAGAAAAACGAGGAGAGCAGACAAAGTGATGGAAGGCGAGATTATGGGCATGGCAGACGTAGTCGTCGTTGGAGGTTGAGGGGCAATGCTACCAGAGGGTGGTTTCGATGGGAATTGCACATGATGATCTGAAGAAACCGTAATTATCGGTTCATTCGTCATGTCAGTGTTCTCGTTGCCTCCATTCCACTCGGGTGTGGGTGTCTCCATTGTCGTTT